TTTACTCATAAATAATGTAGTGAGTGTTACAATTAAGACTGTAGCAACTACAGCATTTTAGTGTTGTTTAGCAAAATCATAATCATAATCATGTGTAAAATTTTGGAAATAGTTTTCTGTAACAGTAGATGAACATTGCAGTTAAACTTGCAGTTGAACATTTTTGTTCCGTTAGATATCTTTAGCAGAGTTGAAATAATATGATAGCCTTCAAATGTTACCTTTATGTTCAGTTCTGTAGGCATCTTATTCTGTCAGAAAAAGGTCATATTGACTGGAAGCTGATGTACTTTGCACTTCAGAAATGTTATCCTATAAAGGAACAGTATGGAGACACCTTACATTTTTGTCGGCACTGCAGCATTCTTTTCTGGAAGGTAATAAACAAAATGCTTAATGTTGATAAATCTTTCAACAGTGGGAAAAACTGGGTAGCAGTGAGGAATGTAATTGTTTGTAATACTATTATTTTTCATATTATTTAGGGTGACCACAGTTCTAAAATATAAATTTCCAAACACACTTATAATTTAAAAGGCCAGCAATGTACTATTTTTAGTAATAAATTGTTTGGGGAAATTATTTTGAGAACATATTAATTTCCATTGGGAACTTAGAGATGCAGTATTGAAAGCAGCTTTGCTGTTACTAGGTGTGGTAGCTGATGGATGCTTCCATTTTCTTCTTTTTGAGCTTCTGTCAAATCTCCAGATGAAATTCCCATTGGAGAGAGATTGGTTTAGTAAATAAATAGTTCAATGAAAGAAACTGTTCTGTGAAGTCATGTTATCCTACTTCATGTCACATTAGCCATTTAGACATGTGTGACCTAAATGGAGAAAAAATTATGTTCAAAAGTTCTGGGTAGGCCACCAAAAATGTGCACCATTGTGTACTCTAATTTAGAATTTCTCAACCAGGATTCCCTGGAAACTTAGAGTTCTTGAGTGGTCATTAGGAGTTCTGTGAGAGATCGTGGTTGGAAATAAATAAACTTTATTTTAAAAAGCTGTAGATACAATAATTTTTATGCAGGAGCTCCCTGAGATCTGAAAAATATTTGAAAGGTTCTTCCAGAGTAGAAAAAGTTGACAAGGGCTGCTTAAATACAGACTGGGTGCCTTTAGGCAGCAAGGACCATCTACTTTGGCCTTGCTAAGTTGAGGCACCTTCCTTTGTCCAAGCAGGCCACAAACAGTCCTTAATCTTTCCAGAGACTAGAACTAGGGAGAGGTAGAAATTGCCACACAGCTGCTCAAATTATCCTTGTCCACTTCCCAAGCTTTGAAACTGGAAGAAAGTTTGGTTGGGCATTAAGCTTGCCAGTAATTAAGCTTGCCAGAGCCACATTTGTCATGTTCAATAGACTGATGGAGGGTTGGAAACATAACAAGAGCCCCTGCTGGGTCAGGTCAAAAGACCTGTTTTATGTAGCATTCAATTCCTGCACAAAAGCCAGCCACAAGGACAATAGCCTTCTCTTCCTAGTTTCCCATGACTGCTGTCCTGATGCATGCTGCCTCTGATTCGAAAGTGTAGCATATCGGTTTTTCTGTATCCCACTTGTTAGCACATTTAAGTTACTGCTAGGTTTGTGTTCTTGCTTCAGTCAGATTTATAAAGGGAGTGTGGGAATACAGTGTTCCGTGTGTGACAGCTGCCTGCCTCTAAACAGCCATCAGACCTCTAACATAAATAGCATGGGGAAAACTTGGAGATGATTTAAGCATCACATGTGAAAATGCCTGGAAAAGAAGTAGTGCAAACAGGGGTGAAGAGATGAGAGAGGGAGAAATCTTTAATGCCAGTCATTGCCAATGACTAATAGTCATGTTAAAAGCCTCCCACCCACAATGTTTCACCGCTAGCTTTTAAGGTTATGTACAAGCTCTGCTGGTTCCAAGACAACTAAGTTCCAAGGAGGGCTCTGAGACACAACATCTGCCAAGCTCCGTCATGTGAGAGAAAACAGTGTTTGTGAAATTTGAAGGTGGCTGAGATTCTGTATTAAATAATATGACCTGCTAGTTTTGGGCAGAGAAAGTAAGTGATACTCAGATTTTTAGCAAGAATTTCATCATCATAGCAAATGGTTTGTCATAGCAAATAGCAATAGCGAATACATTTCTATACTGCTTATCAGTGCACTTAGCATTCCCTAAGCCAGGGGTAGGCAAACTGTCCCCTTTAAGAGCCGAGGGACTTCAGCTCCCAGAATCCCAGACTGTTGGCCAACATGGCTGAGGCTTCTGGGAGCTGAAGTCCAAAATCCCTGAAAGGGCCGAGTTTGCCTACCCCTGCATGTGGTTTACAATGTGTAAGCCAATTGCCCCCAACAAGCTGGGTACCCATTTTAGCAACCTCGGAAGGATGCAAGGCTGAGTGGACCCGGAGCCCCTGGCTGGGATTTGAACTCACAACCTTGTGGCTTGTGAGTAAGTGGCTGCAGTACAGGCGTTTGACCACTGAGCCATCAGGGCTCCCTGTATTGTATAATACTGCATAAAATTATTAAATATTATGTCATAGGAATTCAGTGCAACAAATTAACTTTCATACAGGATGAAATCTCTTATTCTTAATTTCTTTTAAGGGATAATTTTCCCCACTCAGATTGTCTAGCTAGGAATGCTGTGTAGTTAGCAGTTGTAACCACATATTGAACATTGCTGCTACTTGTCATTCTGTCTAGTAAAGCCTTCCTCTCTTTGCTTCACTGCCTTCCTTCCTGTTTCTTCTTCCATGGCCTCAAAAGGACTACCATCTTGCTTTGTTACTCAAGGTACTTCTTTGCACTTTACTTCATGACTTTCTTCTGTGTCCATACTGTGTAGCTGAACTAAATAGTATGGCTAGCATCCACCTGGGTATTTAAACTGACAGAAAGTGACTCAAAGGAGAGGTAATTCCCCTGATACACCACCCCTTACACCTTCAGTAACTGCTCCAGGGGACTGGAAAACCCATCAACGCATAGCTTTGGATATTATGGGTATGGATGGGAAGGAAAAGATCTTGCTGCAGTTGGAGAGGGCACCCAGCTCTTCCTCAGTCTTCTGCTGAGTTTCTTCTGTCAGCATAAGTCCCCGCTTGGAGCCTAGGATATGTTTTCTTGAAAGTGGAATTAACAACTTTTTTAAGCATTGTAAACAAAACAAACTGCTGTTTCATTTTCTCATGTAAGCAAGCTTAAAGACAGGAAAATGCACTCAAGTGAGAAGAGTGTGTCTCATAGTAAAAAACAAAAACAAAACTTTTATCTCCTGAGAAGCAGGATTTTTTATCTTAAAGGTCAGGGTTTATTTTAGGTTGCTTCTGCCCAGGTATAAATGTCCAGAAATACTTGAATGCTTTCTTTGTCTTTAGTTGTATCTTGACTAATAGTTACTAACAGTGTTTCTCAATCTGGCACCCTCCAGGCAAATTGTGGAGAGTGTCTTCAGTGAGAGACATAAAAGGTGATGCACAGCAAAGCAAATCTTGACTATCACTACTCCAGTTCTTCACTTGCCTCATCCTACAAAATCTTGGGCACAATGTTTTGCAAACTGAGAACAGAGTGCACTGCATTGTGTGTCAAATGTAATGTATTAGATTTGGATCCCACCTTTCTTAGGGTTGGTCCCATGTTTTCCCCACATTGCCTTGTCTTACTCTGCGAGGGAGGATTAGGCTGAGAGACAGAGTGACTGGTCTAGTGTATCCAGTGATCTTGATGGCTGAGTTTGAACATGGGTCTCCTCAGTACTAGTCTGAGACTCTTATGCAACGTGGTGCCCTACAAATGCCTTGAACTGCAACCCCTGCCATTCCTAGCCAGCATGACCAGTAGAGATAGTCTGAGGCATCTTGAAGCCACTGGTTGGAGGAGAGTGTTCTGGCCTCTTCCACAAGCTGGCTCTAAGTAGCTTGCGCAAGCGAACTGAGGTATGTTTCATGCCGAAAGGGGAATTGCCCCACTCTAATCATAGGGAGACACTTCATTCCCAGCCAAATACAAGGGATCAGGTAGAGCCATGGCAACAAAGCCCTTTCCTATCTGCACCCTACATTATTCAGAGCCCCCTTGTCCTTGTGTCTTCACAAATGCCACCTGAGCTCCTCTAAGAAGGCCCTACTTTTTCACATATTTGGAACAAGTCTATAAGCTACAAGTAGGCTCTGAGGTTGTGAAACTTATCCCATCCTACCTGCCCCATGATTTCCCCCTCTTTACTGGTTTCTAAAAGGGCAATAAGGAAGTCCCCTTTGTTTTGACATTGATTGGCTAATGGGGGTGTCTTTTCCCCTTCCCTACCTCCAATAGTATAAGAACCACTCTTGATCAGACCAAAGACCTACCTGCTCCTGTATTCTGTTCCACAGTGGTGGACCAGCTGCTTCATGGGGAGCCCACAAACGGCATGAGTGCAATACTATTCTTCTGGTTATGCTCCCTAGCAACAGGCATTAAAAATACTCTCTCTGATTTTAGAGGTAACAAAACACCATGGTGACTAGAAAAAAATTGTGAATATTTCTAATCCTCTTTTAAAAGCATTCAAATTTAGGGTGATTGCTACATCTTGTTATAATGAGTTCTACAGCTGAACTATGTGCTATATGAAGCACTTGCTTTGTCCCAGATCTCCCACCATTCAGATTCATTGAATGACCCCAAATAACTGGTACTATGAGAAAAATATTTGCATAATCCACACTATGTATTATTTTATACATTTACAGATTGTTATTCTGTTATATTTTGTAACTATAAAATGGCTTGAGTTATGGAAAAAATTAAAATATTACTCCTTGTAAGTAGAGCCATGTTCAAAATAGAAGACTGCTGCCGTAGCAAATATAGGAACTGTGTAGGAAACTCTTTATATTGTCAGTCTGTCTAGCCTAGTATTGTCAGCACTCAATGACAGTGGCTCTCCAGAATTTCAGGCAGAAATCTTTCCTAGTCCAACCTGGCAATTGCAGATGTATTTTGGTGGCCCCATGTCTGAGAGAGAGCCAGCATGGCATAGTGGTTTGTTCATTGGGCTACAACTCTGGAGACGAGGGTTTCAAATCCCTCTGCAGCCATGGAAACCCAGTGGATTACCTTGGGCAAGTCGCACACTCTCAGTCTCAATGTTAGGCAAAAGCAAACACCCTCTTTAAGTTAGTTTCAAAGGTGCTACAAGATCCCTTTGCACCCTGGTTTTCCAGACTAACAAGTCTTTGAATGTAATAAGCTGCTGGGTTATAACTAGGTCCTCTTTAAAATTAGCTGTCCACCTTCTGTTTCTGGCCACTCCTGTTTTATTAGCATGACCCTCTTTAAATGTTAGACCTGAGTTCAAACAAAACTTGTGTTATATACACAGAAGAACACAGCTATTTCATTTATCTGTTTCATTCTACCTGAAAAGTATTAGAAAGTAGCATTTTTCTCTGATGGAATGACAAGAGATGTGGGCAGTGAGGAGGAACTTAGTTGGCAGGAGGAGAGACTTGATTCTTAAGCCACTAACCATCCCAATCACAGTCTTTCCTAGAAACATAGATATCTATCACTGTGAAACCACTGGCTATCTATCTGTTGTGGTGTATGCCAATTTCCCGTGTTCTTGCCACTGAGTGTTCTTTATAAGCAACTACAGTCGGCTCTCCATATCCACAATTTTTTATGCACAGATTCAACCATCCACAGCTTGAAAATATTTTTAAAAATATATCATTTCCAAAAGCAAGCCTTGATTTTGCCATTTTATATAAGGGACAGTATTTTACTATGTCACTGTATTTAATGGGAATTTCGCCTCCACAGATTTTGGTATCCACGGGGGTCCTGGAACCAAATCTCAGCAGATACCAAGGGTCCACTGTATAAGAGTACTCACTTGGCCCCTAGTGGAGCTTGGAGAGGCTTTTGGCATTGCCTCAGACTTGTTTTAAAATTAGGAGCATGAAGATCTTGATCAAGGTGTACTTTTATCTCAGTACTGCTACTATATATAAACCTTTGGCTTTAGAAACAAATTACTTGACAACTTGAAATTGGTTACCGGTTCTAAAAAGAAAATAACTATGCCCTTCATTTCTTTAGGATACAGGACATCCCTGCACAGCCAATGACCCCAACAGCTGTTTCATGCCAGTATCTCCTCAGCACTTCATAGACCTCTTCAAATTTTAAGTGTAATCAATTTTTTTGTTGGTTCTTCACTTTCTCTCCTTTTTTTGCATTGTCATGCATTTATATGTATAATGCTTCTTGTGCAATATTTCTGTGAGTGTGCTTTGTAGTTAAAAAGGGACATAAGGAGATCGAACGGAGAGAATATTGACCAGAGCATCTCATTAAGAAGTTAAGTTTGTAGGAAGAAAACTGAAGGAAAATTCTGTTTGCAAGGGAAGATATAACATGGAGGGGGTGATCTCAACAAAATGAATAGTTGAGGTTTGTCAAGCTTTGGAAATTTTATCAAGTGATTTATCAATGATTTGTCATCTTGTTAGGGACTGTCACGGATTTTGAGTTAGGAGAAGTGGGACGTTTCATTTAGGAGAGGTGACCAAAAATGGATCTTGTCCTTGTCTTTTTGCTTCCTTTTCCAAATATATGCAGTTGGCATGTCCTATAAATATTCAGAGGATACTCTTTGGGCTTCTTTGTACATATTGTGTTGGCTGTGAGTGTCGCACGTTGGTAAAACATAGTTGTGCAGACCTGTTGTGCATCCTCTTATGAAAAAAGCCAACTCCATTTTGTAAATACCTTTTGCAGATTATTTATTTTCTTACAATCTATTTTGTTAATTATGTCACACCTATCTAACTGTATCCTAAATAATGTGAGCTGCTGATTGTGGCTGCTGAAGTGAGATGGAGTTTTCAGATGGTTGTCCCATGGGTTTATATGGTGTGTGTTTATCCTCTGAGTGATCTGCTGTTAGTCTTTACTGCCATTCATGCTCCCTAAAAAATATCTTACTGAACTTTAACACAGAAAATGAGAAGCATATTGCTAGGCTCTTACTGCAAAATCCTATATGGTACTGGCTAAATTGGACTGAAGTGGCAAAGAAATCTCTTGTAAGCTGCTGTTTTGTTCTGCAAGTTTGCAGGAGTGGAAGAAAGCAGGTCATTATACAGCAAACTCAGAATGACTGGTAGTTCGTTATTGATGTCTTAAATAATAATTTCAATCTGTAATATTGTATACAGATTAATACAAACCTTACATTGTATACCACAGTGTGTTTTGAATCTAGTTTTGAATCTAGTTTTGTATACAAATAAATCATGTTTTTGCCTTTTAACTGGTGTTTTGTTTTGTTTTTTTGTATTGGCACCTTATGCACTTATCAGTTCATATTAGATCAAAGGAAATCTGTTGATTTTCCATGTTACCAACTTAAAAGCATGCAGGCTTAGGACAGCATGTGTAACTATACTTGCTTATTGCCACCAGAAAAAAATTGACATGCTTTCCCCTCGGGTGTTTATCCAGTTAGATTATCTCCTCCCAAAATGGTTTGTCAGCCTTCACAAATGAAGCAGCTGAAGAGTTTGTTACATACATTTAGGGACATTCTGTGTTCAAAGAGTTTTGCAGAGTTCATACTTTCTCAAGAAGGAGGTTACAAAAAATGAGAAGGAATTAACTCCAACAGCATGAGCTTGGGAAAGACTCACTTTTAGCAAGAAGAGAATCCCTGTGCCAAGAGATGTAAAAGCCATCAGTGTTCCCACTTGCGCACTTGGTAAGGCAACAAAGGGCTATGCGCTCATCTGTATGGTTTTGTGGTGTGACAAGGAGCACTATAGCATAACAAAAAAGGAGTGGTCCAGAACCAGCAGGTGCGGCATGGCCTCAGCTGTATGCAACCCACAGAGTAGGTGTGGCAGTGAGAAAAGGAAAAGATGTGGCGGCACAAAGGTTTTGGGGTGCAGGAGACAGAGCTATATCTTTCTGCAATTTTACACATCCCACCTACCTTTCACTCCCACCACCCACTGCTGGAATGACCCCCCCCCAGGTCACTGCATTAATGCATTCAAGAGAGGGAAAAGTCTCCTTGGACATCTTGGGGGGGGGGTTATGTGGTAGCAAGATGACAAGAACATTTCTGATTCTTGGGTGTCTAATTAAGTAATAGTACAGTCGCCCCTCTGTTTGCAGACTTGAAGTCTGCGGTTTTGAATATTCACAAAGAGGGGACCTCCGTTAAAATCAATGGAGCACACCCCATTCAAGTTGATGGGGCTTGAATATTGACACGTCACTGTTTTTGCGGGGAGGTCTGGAACGGATCCCCAGCAAAAATGAAGGGCCAACTATAGTTTACAAAGTAGTTTTCAAATCTTTTTCTCATCCAATACCTGATGGAAGAGCCAGTGTGGCACAGTGGTTTGAGTGTTGGACTGCAACTCTGGTTTGCACTCTGCAAAGTGGTTTGATTCTGGTTTGAGTCTGCAAACTCTGGTTTGATTTCCAGCTTGACCATGAAACCCACTGAGCAACCTTGGGTGAGTCACACACTCTCAGCCTCGGGAAGGCAAAAGCAAACCTGAAAAAATCTTGCCAAGAAAGCACCATGATAGGTTTGCCTTAGGATTGCCATAAGTCAGAAATGAAGGCACACAACAACAAACCTGATGCAGGCAGAGAAGGTCTGTGTATCCTAGACGTCCTAATAGTGAACTCAAATCTCAGAGTACAAATAAACATCATCCACACACAAGCAGGAAAAAGTAGCCCCAGGCATAGGGAACCCAGAATACACAAAAACATCTTCAGGAGAAAACACACTCTTCCACAATGAAGGCTGAGTATGTTCAGTGGGCAATGATAGCTCATGCAAAAGATAGAGGAGCAGGATAGTGTAGAGGAGGACACATACTTCTCTGGAACCCTAAGCAGAAGAATTCCCCGTGTAATGGTTTGTTGTAGGAGGGTGACCAAGAGGATAAAGGGTCTGAAAACCAAGCCTCATGAGTAATTGTTGAGAATATTAAGTATGCTTAGCTTTTCAAAGAGAAGATTGAGAGGTGAGATAGCAGTGTTTAAATATCTGAAGGGCTATCAGATCCGGGAGTAGTCGTTTTAGCCATATATCAAATCCAGTAACATCAAAAATCCACCAAATAGTGATACTTTTACACAACACAAAGAAGATACATCCTTTGCAATCCAATATGTCTCCCATCATTTGTGAGGCCACAAGCCCCTTTGTTAGACGAAGGACACTGAATTTCTCAAGAAGCCTTTATGCTTTTGCATCAAGAAAACTTGAGGTGGTGTTGAGGAAAAACATGCCGATCCAGTATGGATTTAAGGAAAAAAGTGTTTTACCTTTGTTGGAGGTAGAAACTTCAAATAGTTAGGTCCCAGTCCACTGGCTCTCTCTTTTGGATTTAGGGGTTCGAGTTAGGATTTAAGCCAGTGGCGCTTTGAGAGTTTACAACGTCTATATTGTGCATTTTGGCTGGCCAATAAAGGTATCACTGTTTGGTGAATTTTTGATATTATTGAAGGGCTATAAGATAGAAGATAGGAAAGTATGTTTGCTGCTGTGCCAGAGTCTATGCATGACCAGAACCAATGGATTCCAATTGCAAGAAAGAAGATTTCAACTAAACCGTAGGAAGAGCTTCCTGGTGGTAAAAGCTGCTTGACAATGGAACAGAATAATTTGGAAGGTGATTGACTTACCCTCTTTGGAGTTTTTTTTTTTTTTAAACAAAAATTGGATGCCTACTGCATGGCAGTGGGTTGTACTAGATGACCTTTGAGGACATTCCACCTCAGAGTCTATCCCATATCTTTTTTGCCCAGAGCCTTTCTATTGGGGGTTTGAGACTGCCAGAAATAGTGCAAATTGAGTCCACTTTTAGGGTTAGGGTTAGTGCTAGGGAATCATGGGAACTGTTTTTTTTCTGAGACATCGAGCCTTCTCTGTCAGAGAGCTCTGGTGCCACAATAAAATACAGTTCCCATGATTCCCTAACCCTAACCCTAAAAGTGGACTCAATTTGCATTATTTCTGGCAGTCTGCAACCCCCCTAAGGGCCTTTACAGATTGGCAGAAATAATG